ACAATGGACTTGGCTGAATTTCATTTCAGTGTACATAAAATTCTTTTCAGAATTTCAAATGTAGCTTCTAGAAGACTTTCAAACAAACTGTAAAAACCTGTATTCATGTGAACCTTTCCATTTTATACCTATTTGTCTAATACTTGAGTAACTACTGCTCTGGACTTTCTCAGTAATAGCAATGTTGAGTTGCTGGTTGTTTGCTTTTTCTATAGATTTAGTTGCATCTTTTGTTGTGCATGCAGTATGTGCATTAATGCCTGCAGTCTTTAGGGGTGTAATGACAGTTCTCTGTAGTTTGTTTCTTGGGCAGTATTACAATAAATACTGTAAACTGAAAGGTTCTGCAAGGAACCATGCAAAAAAAAGTTTTTTTAAAAAAAAAAAACAAACCAGAAAATAATGTTGTGGTTTGAGATGCTGATAAAATTATGTAGAATCTCTACATATAGAATGTGTGAAAAATCAGGATTATTTTGTGTGCATTTTGGGGGAGAGGTGGGAAGCTTCATTTAGCCTTATAGGCATTGTCATTTCAAGCATCCCATGAGATCATCAGGACAGCAATTTGCAAAGTGTTTAGGCAGATCAGCTTCTCTGGAAATGGTTCCTATACTTTATTTTTGGGACTTTTTTGTTACTCAACTGCTTGAATACTTGAATAAACCATTCTCCAGGACAGAATCATCTTAATCCTCTTAAACACAGTGGTCTGAACTATTTGACAAAGTTGTACAGGGCTTACACATCAAAATATTGTTTCAGTGTTGGGATAACCATGTGTTTCCTTTACTTTGACAGAGTAATGTACTTTTTACCTTATTTATCTGTATGAAATTCCAACAGTTAATTTGAAAGTGTTTGTTTATATAATGTTTGTATTTTTAGGTCTTTAATACGGTGTTTCTACCTCTCCTTTGTAATTGCATGCATTATTCTTGGAACTAGGTAATAACTCACTGAACTGTTGCGTAATAGCCTTTTTATTATGGCCTGTATAAATGTATATTAAGGTAAAAATAAATACTGACACTAGAAGTGTTTCTATGGTACGACTGAGTTTCTGTGTCTCTGTGACCAGAGGTGTTAAATTTAGGAAAAATTCTCTACTTGCCTGGGTAAAGAAGTTGCTGAATGTTCCCCTCAGCAGCTGGACCTGCCAGCAGGGCAGGATGGGGCAGCATCTGTGAGTTCATTATCTCTGGATAGCTCTGGCACAAAGTGGCCCTGAGTTTGTTTTTCCCTGGCTTTAGGAAGACAATTTACCCTGCTTCTTTGTTTTTTTTCTTTTTTTTTTTTTTCAATTTTTTTTTTAAACTTGGATTGGAAAACAAAAATGCTAAGTAGTATCCTGGGTGACAGCTGTATGATCTTTCAACAAGGTGCTTATTTGTTGCCTCTAGCAAAGGGGAGCTGTCTGGGCTGCCAGAAGAGCATATACAGAGCTAATTGACAAAAGCTGGCAGGAAGTTACAATTTCTATCCAAAGCTGACAAAAAATGGGCTTTGTTCACCTCACAGCTCGTACCCTCTGCCCAGCTGAGGTATGCTGTGATAGCTGCTGTGTGAATATTGGGTTTTTTTGAGTTGTAATATCAATTTTCCCCCAATTTATTATTAAAAACCCCTTCACTTGCAAGTGGCACATAAAGAGGATGAGGAAGGAGTGAGCTGGGAATGCTAATGATATGTCTGAGCCCAAATCTAGGAACAAAGCAACAGCCTTAATGCACAAGTCTAGGAGATAGGCTGCTTTTCTCAGGAACTCACTGGCTTTTGTTGGTTTTCTTTCTTTCAGGATTCAAGCTCATTCTCCTTCCCCTCTTGCCAGCAAGGCTACAGCTGCACAAACAGGAGGAGAAGAAAAGGGCTATTCTTGCTGGCTGTTTTCAGGAGGAGGAGACCAATGTTCATGGCCTGTCTTTCTGCATAAACTCATGCCACAAAGATCCTGAAGCTGTCCTGTCTTTGGCTCTCTGTGCTGAACAGCAGGTGCCTGTTTTTACCAAATACTTTTTTTTTTTTCCTTTTTTTCACAGCCTTTGAAAGATAGAACTTAAAAAGAGAGATTTCATGTGCTTTTCTAGCTCAGCTCTCCAGCATCTCCTTGAGTGTTCTTCACTTGCTCCACTCTATCCATTTTACAAAATGTCAGCTGAGGAATCTAAACCACATTTTGATTCTGACATTTGCTGCTTTTCATAAGCAAGAAGTTGAACTCAGCCCTTCCCCTGGCACAGAGGAAGAAATCCTGTTAATTTTACTTGCAGCTAAGATGCTACAAGTTATTCCAAGGAGCATTTTGAGGAGGGAGCTGTTCCTGGGTTTTGCATAGTTCTTGCTATTATCTTGTACAGCTACATTCAATTATTACCACATCACTTCAGGGTTTGGAGGCAATAACCTGGGATTCACCCATGTCCCACTTCTGTGCCCAGCTCCACCAAAAAGGGAAATTTGCTTTTCAGCTGGAGCAGGGAAAGCTGGATCCTGCTACTTCCAAAGGTTGTTGAGGCTTTGAAATTCAGATAGGCTGACTTGTGACCTGACTTGTGACCCACCTCCATTTTAATTCCTGCTTCTTCTCCTATTTTGGGAGTCTTTTTAATATAAATTTTGGTCCTTTGACTTTTTTTTTGTCTTCTGTGAGCTCTGCTTACTACTATCTTTTTTGACTGTCCAGCATGCTTTTTAAGTCTTTAAGCAAATCTCTTTTTATCATGAACTTCCCCATCTGACCTGAGCCATGGTCCTGGCTGTGGCTTTTCCCAGAGTGCCCCCACAGCTCCTCCTTTTTGCAGAGGAGTGGAGTCCATCAGGGTAACCCCTCTCCTGAGGTCTCTAAGTCAGCTGGAGCCCAGCTGAAGGAAGCCTTGGGACAAACACCTTTTCAATAGGCTTTTGTGCACGGCAGGCTCCCTCCTCCTCGCTGCCTGAAAGCCAACTGAGTGCCAGTGGGGCTGTTGAGTCTTGTTTCAGTCCTTGTGCCAATCATTCCCATTGTTTCTTTGTGTCCCTTTCACATTTTCCATGGCCTGAACTCTGTCCACAATGCAGCCCACAGACCAGGGCTCTGTGTGACACAGTATCTCCTTCTTGTGAATGTGAGATCAGCCACAGCTTTCAAAACAAGTGATGCCATAAATGAGCTGAGCTGCATTGATTCCTGTAGCTTCCTTAAAAACCTCTCCCTGTTGTTCATCTCCTGTACCTGCTTTTATGGTTGAGTGCTGTTTGGATTTTGTATCTGCCTGGGTTATGTGACTTCCAGAAAACTTGGAATTTCAGACTAGGCAGACATTTAAGCAGAGACTGAAGATTGTAGCTGAAAACTTGAAGTTCTGTGAGTGTGGTGTGTGAGCTAACAGGGCATTATTTGATTATTTAGACTCTTGAAACCAAATACTGCACAGTTTATCTTCCAAACCAAAGTCTTCCCTCCCCAGGCTCTGCTGGGTGCTTTTGGAAGCAGGGTAAGGATCAGCACAAAGGGCTGCTCCCCAGGGCAGGGCAGGAGCCTGTCTCATTAATTACTATTAATTGAGTCCAAGAGAGGAGTGAGGGTACAAGGAATGAGGGTTGGGGGGAGTCTTGAGCTCAGCTTCTCAATGAAACACCTCTTGCTGCTGTAAATAAAGATTAGAGCCCACCCCAGCACTGCTCACCTCCCAGTTCCTCTAGAGTTCCATAGCTTTGCCATAAATAGCTCCCTTTATTGTTTCTTAATGATTGAATTAAAATAGAAAACACTGCCAGCTCCCAGGCGTGGGGAGCACGGGGTATTCCTCTGTCTCATTTGAGATCCCACACTTCCCTGAAATCCACGTGTCTCACCCAGCTCAGACTCTGCAATGCTAAAAACTCCCTCAGCCTTGTTTCCTGTCCCTAACTGGCCAAAAGATGTCCCTGACAAGGACCAAAAGGGACTCCTTCCCAGGATGCTACCTCATTCCTGCAAAGGTTTATCCCTGCTGATCACTGGGAGCTGGGACATTTGCTTCCAGTGTATGCTTGCCAAGTACAAGCAGCACTGTCATGACATGAAAATCTTCTGGGCTGATGGGTGAGAATTTTACAAGCTCTGGAGAATCCATCCACCTCCCTGCCCTTGCTGCCAGCCTGGGTGGGTGCATTGCAGCACCATTTCCCCAGGCATAATGTAATGCTCCATGCTGAGAGCTCAGTTTTTCACTCTGTAGATAATCCCTTATCCAAATTCCCTTGGGCCTGCACAGAGCTCCAATCTGCCTGCAAGGATGCTGACAGGATAAGGAGGAGCATTTGCATTAGGCAATGGTTCTATGAGGAACATTCCTGCTTCTACCCATATTTTCTTCAATGCACACCCAGCTTTTCTCAACACACCACCTGGCACGGCACCGTCAAGCCCAGCCTGTTTTTCCTTCTCATGTTGCCTCCTGCACACAAGTTTTAGCGGTTGCTCATGCCATTCTTCTCCCCAGCAGGGTGTTTACTGCTGAAATTTGTGCAACAGCTTGTGAAATGTTCCTGCTGAGCCACAGCCCAGGAGGTGTTAGTGAAGCCAACTGACCACAGAAGCCAAGCTTGGTGTTTGGGGGGAATTGTGGTTCCACACAGCCTGAAGTCAAAGGGCACTCCCAGCTTTCGGAGGGCCGTGTTGATGTGAAAAATGGGATTAAACTTTGCAGGAGAAGGGGTGCTCTGTGCTAGGATTCCCCATCAGCTGGGCAGGAGCAGCCAGGTGCCAGCCCTGTGTCACGGAGCTGCGGCGGGCACGGACTTGGTGCCTTCCAGCTGCAGCCGAGGAGCTTTAGCAGTAAAAGCCCTGGGAAAATCGTGTCACGAAAGGCAACCTGTAACAACCTGCGTGCAATTTTTAAATACTACCCGTGCTTTTCCTAGAACAACTCCTGGCAGGTCTATTTTTAACCGGAACGTGCCCAACCTTGCCCGAGCTCCTTTCTCTGCGGTTTTTAGGGTTTTTTTGGCTCGCTTCCCACGCCGCGATTGTATCAAGGTTAATTCGACCGTCCTGCCGGGCTCTTCCCACCTCCCCCAAAAGAGCAGCACCTGCCCGGCTTCGTTCGCTCTCCGTGGCAGGGCAGGGCAGGGCCAGCCGCGGGCTCGTTCCCCGATAAGGCTCCGCAGGGACTCTGCTCTCCGCCCCGGCAGCGTTTCACAACCGGCCCGGCAGTGCCAGCCCCGCTGCCGCCCGCGGAGCCCACGGAGGACGGCGGCGGCCTCGCAGCGCTGCCAGCGCGGCAGGAGCGACCCCGAGCGCGGCGGCCAAGGTAGCGAAGGGACTCCCGGGGCGGGACACGTCCTTCACCCCGCTCTGCTTTCGCCCTCTCCCCTCTCCCACCCAGATCACCGGGCACGGAGGGGGAGCGGCGGCCCCGCGGCCTCGCCCGTTCCGCTTCCGCCATGTGAGCGGAAAGAGGAAGCGGCGGCGGCGGCCCCCGGTGGGCGGCGGGGGCGGAGGGTCCTGCCCGGAGCGGAGGGCACCGGCCGGGGGGAGAACCAGCGGCTCGCAACCACCGCGCCGCAACCGCCGCCACGCTTGTCGCCTCAGCCCCGGTGTCGCTCGGGGGTCCCCGCGGTTCCTCGTGGGGTCCCCATCGCGCCGTGTCCTCGCCGGGTGTCGCTCGATACCGCGGGGCGCTCCGCCCCGCCGGGAGCAGCCCCGGCTTCCTCGGTGACATCCCCACGCTCCCACCAGCGCCCTGCGCTGCTTCGCAAACTTTTCTAACTCGGGAATTACGTAAGGCTCCAGAGACACGCGGCGTGTGAGGCACGAAGGGCGGCGAGGTCGCTGCCCGGGGATGGGGATGGGGCGGGGGCGCGGCTGGAGGCTGCGGTGCCTCTGGGGACAAGCCGGGCTGTGCGGGTCGGGGAGGGCCCGCGCTGAGCTGGGTGTCACCGGTGTCTCCTCAGTGCTCAGCGGCCATGGAGAGGATGCAGCAGATCGTGGGGCGGGCGAGGGCCGCCTTCAGCTCGGGCCGGAGCCGCCCGCTGGAGTTCAGGATTCAGCAGCTGAAGGCCCTGGAGAGGATGGTGCAGGAGAAAGAGAAGGAGATCCTGGCAGCCCTCAAGGCGGATCTGAACAAGGTCTGGGTCGGGGAGCCGTGCATGGACAGTGGTTGGCCCTGAAGGGAAAGCGGGAAGGCCAAGGGCTGCCATTGTTGTGCTAAATGACTTTTGCTCTTGTCCCCCTTGGCCCTGGCTCCAACTGTGGCCTGAGAAGATCTGCTGCCACTTGCAAGATCTACACCACTTGTAAAGAGTTAGTCTAAGGCAGGACTGCAGAGGCAATCCTGGCTGTCAGCTTTTAGGTTCTGCCTCACACACTTGGGTTGGCTAGCTTTGGCCAGGGATCCTTTGTCACTGCCAGTGGCAGACACTTTGAAGCAGCAGGGCTGTGATGTGGCTGTGGGAGGTGGGTGCCTTTGCCATCCCTTTCCCCAACCCCGCTGTTGTTTCAGTGTGGGCCCAACGCCTACAGCCATGAAATTCTGGGTGTGCTGGGGGAGCTGGCCCTGACCATGGAGAAGCTGCCGTCCTGGGCAGCCCCTCAGCCCGTGAAGAAGAACCTGCTGACCCTGAGGGACGAGGCCTACATCAACTACGAGCCCCTGGGCGTGGTGCTGGTCATCGGGGCCTGGAACTACCCCTTTGTGCTGGTCATGCAGCCCCTGATCGGGGCCATCGCAGCAGGTGGGGATCCAGCACGGCCCCGGCCTTGGTGGGCTTGTGGCTGGGAGCTGGGGCAAGGATGTGAGGGCTGAGTGTCTGTGCTGTGTGTGCCCTGCAGGCAATGCCGTGGTGGTGAAGCCGTCGGAGGTCAGCGAGAACACGGCTCGGCTGGTGGCCGAGCTCCTCCCACAGTACCTGGACAAGGTGAGTGTGGCCCCATGCCTGGCATGACTGTCTTGATCTGTCCTGCTTCTAAAGGGCTCCTGCAGGTTCAAGCCAAATCCATTGCCTGCTCCCTTCAAAGCAGCATAAGCAGGAGGCAGAGGAAGGTCTGAGTTAGAGTCCAAAGGTACATTGACAAATTCTCCCCGTGTTTGTGTATGAGCTTACGTAACGCTGCTGCAGTGTGACAGCCTTTTTGACACCCATGACCATATGGAGAGGTGTGTGGGTACTTCTCACTGCAGGAGCTGCTCTTTTGGAGCTGTGCTGGGGATGTCCTTAGGTCAACACAGGTTGTGTAGGATGGTGGCTGTGTCTGGCTCTTCCTGAGAATTAGGCACTGTGTGTTCCATGGCAGCGTGTCCTGGGTTTTTGTGTCCTGCTGAACTGCACTTGGAGGAGGAGGTGTTGTTTCTCCTCCTCTTGCCTGGCAGTTCTGTTGTCCCCTGCACTGTGTCACAGACTGTTGCTGTCACTGCACAGGGGCCTGTGGAGTTTCCTGCGGGGAGTTAGCACCTTCTCGAGGTGGGAGGCAGGAGCAGAAGAAGGAGGCGGCTCTGGGGAGAGTCTGGCAGTCATGTGCACCCTGGTTCTTACTGTGTGGGAGCAGCTCCACAGCCAGACTCAGCCCTGGCCTCAGCCTGCATTTCTTTTAGTTCTTATAACAGAAAGTGTGATATGAAACTTCATTTCAGGGGAAGGAGCAGAGCTTATCTCTGATACCACTATATTTTGTCCCTATCATGAAGTAGGCCACAAATAAGTGTGCCCTCTGCCACCTGCTGCCTTGATCTAAGTGCTTTGAGTCAAGGTAAGTCTCAGGCTCATGTTTGCCCTGCAGGATCTGTACCCTGTGGTCACTGGAGGAGTTCCTGAGACAACCGAGCTGCTGACCCAGAGATTTGATCACATCCTCTACACCGGCAACACTGCAGTGGGCAAAATTGTGATGGCAGCAGCTGCCAAGCACCTGACCCCTGTCACCCTGGAGCTGGGGGGAAAGAGCCCCTGCTACATCGACAAGGACTGTGACCTGGCTGTGGCCTGCAGGTCAGCTTGTTGCTGCCTTGATGGGCCCTGAGCAGCAGGGCAGGGGGAGGTCTCTGGGCCAGCATCCCCAGCTCAGGTGCTGCCAGCTGGGCTGAGGGGTGTGGCAGGGGTCGCCCATGGGGAAACCGTGTCCCTTTTGTCCCTTGTCCCAGGCGGATAACGTGGGGCAAGTACATGAACTGTGGGCAAACGTGCATCGCCCCAGACTACATCCTGTGCGACCCCTCCATCCAGAGCCAGGTGGTGGAGAACATCAAGGCGACTCTGAAGGTGAGGGAGGAGTTCCTTGTGCTGTGGGGATTGTTCCAGGTGTGATTTCCTGGAGCTGTGGCTGTTGGAAGGTGCGCTGAGCGCTTTTGTTGCTGCTGTGCCCTTGCTCAGGAATTCTATGGGGAAGATGTGAAGTCGTCTCCGGACTATGAAAGGATTGTCAACCAGCGTCACTTCAAGAGGGTGAAGAGCCTGCTGGAGGGGCAGAAGATCGCTCATGGGGGAGAGTCTGATGAGGCCTCCTGCTTCATAGGTGCTCCTGGCAGCTGCTGTGGAGGGGAGGTGGTGGTGGGTGCTTTCTGGGCTCCGTGTGTGTGTCTGTGCCTGACTTGGGTTATGTTGAACACAGCAGTGTCCAGGACAAGGTCCTGTCCTGGGCCAGACGTGTGTCCAGCTCATGCTGTTCTCCCATTGTCCCGTTTGCCTCAGCTCCAACCATCCTCACGGACGTTTCCCCAGAGTCCAAGGTGATGGAGGAGGAAATCTTTGGACCAGTGCTGCCCATTGTGCCTGTGAAGAGCGTGGAGGAAGCCATTGAGTTCATCAATCATCGGGAGAAGCCCCTTGCCCTTTATGTCTTCTCCAACAACAAGCAGGTGGGTCTGGGCTGTGCCAGAGGAGATCAGCATTGTGGCTCCCTTTCCAGTATCCTCAGTTACACGGTCTGGTCTCTTTAAGCCTTTTTAATCTTCTCTTTTGTTTTTTGTTTTTTTTTTTCTTTTTCTAGTTAATCAAGAGAGTCATCTCGGAAACTTCCAGTGGTGGTGTGACTGGAAATGATGTCATCATGCATTTCTTCCTCTCAACTTTGCCTTTTGGTGGTGTTGGTAAGTTACTGGAGCTCCTTAAGAGTTGGTACTTATGGCACAGTGTGTGCCAGGGAACACCAACTCATGGTTTGTGTCTGGGTATCCCTGTGCCTCCTACAGCCCATGTCTCTTGCAGCAGGTCTTGATAATAATGATAAGTTCTGGGATTGCGTTAGGACAGGGGCCAGGAGGGAAAAACCTTTGGATGTATTTTTGGAAAGATTTAGTGCAGCCTGATGGGAAAGGCTCATTAAAACCATTAATGAGTGATTGGTGGAAATGAGGTGAGGAAGGCTGGAGTACATTATAGAGACTGAGAAGCGCTGCAGGGGAAGGGTCAGTTGTCCTCAAGTGGACAGAGTTTTGGCTGACCTGCCTGGCTGTGTCCCTCAGGCCACAGCGGGATGGGCGCCTACCATGGCAAGCACAGCTTCGAGACCTTCTCCCACCGCCGCGCCTGCCTGATCAAGGACCTGAAAATGGAGAGCACCAACAAAATGAGGTACCCACCTGGAAGCCAGAAGAAGGTGGATTGGGCCAAGTTCTTCCTCCTGAAGCGGTTTAACAAGGCCCGAATTGGGCTCTTTATCCTGGCCCTGCTGGGGGTTGTGGCAGCAGTGATGATTAAGGTGAGTTTTGGGTCTTTGCTGTCTATGGCAGTGCATGAGTGATTTGCCCAATCTGTTCTTTGCAACTGCAGCCCTTTTATAAAGCCTGACCTCTTTTTCTGTCTTGGGATTTATTATATCTGTCCCACCTTAAATTCTTACCTTCTCACTCTTGCAAGTGATCTGTAGAATAGGATTATCCCTGGAGTGACCTCGCAGACTGCTGAACTCCTTACTGCTCTTCCCTGGTAGGTGACACTGGTGGGATGCTCCCTCCAGAGGCAGAGGTTGGTAGTCTTGGACTGGTTAGGAGTAGTTTCCATTCCAGGGCCTCCTTCAGCAGTGTTTGAGCTGCCTCACAGCCCAGAGAGCTGCAATCTGTGCCATGGCACCCTGGGGAGGGAAGCTGTGTCCCACGGCCAGGGTCAGTGACGAGCTCTTGTTCCTCCTTGCCCATTGCAGCCCCTGTGTGACCTCAGCTCAATTATTCTCATTTCCTCCCTTGTTTCCATCTGGGTCCTGTGGAAGGGTGGGATGTCCTCTCCTCTCTGCAGGAGGCAGAGGCTTGCAGGAGGCTCAGGATGCCTCGTGAGGTGGAGGAACAAGATCTGAATCTCTAAGCGTGGTCACTGTTGTTTGTTCATGTCTGACAAACCAGACACTACATGTGCCTTCACTGACTGCTCTGTGGGGTTTAGTGAGCTTAAGGGAGCAGCTCCTGAGGGCACAGGAGGTGGCAGGGTGGATCAGGACTCTGCCCTTCAGTCTGTGCAGTTGCTGGTGCAAGGATACACTCGGGAGCCCAGCATCCAGGGCAAATAACCTGCTCACATAATCCAGGAGGAGCTGTAAGAGCCAAGAACTGGCTCAGGCTTTAAGGTAGCAGCCAGGGAGGCAGGCCCTGTGTAGGGGAATGAGAGGGGGGAAACTCACAGCATCTTGAAATCATTTGGGTTTCTCAGAGCCACCAGTCTGTGCTGAAGAGAAAAGCCCTCTTGGTTGTGCTGGCTGTGCAGAGGCTGGGCTGGCCCAGCGGGTGGTAAGGAGGAGCAGGTTTCAGAGCACTGCTGTGGCTGTCACAGTGAGGTAGGAGCCTTTTTCTTCTCCTGTGTGTAGACCCAGTTTGAGACTGGGAAAAGCTTTATAGATGAGTGAATGTGGGGCTGAGCCAGAGCACGATGCTTCCCCTGACACCTGAGATAACCAGTGCATGCTGAGGGGCAGGAGAGCTGCACGCTGGGGAACTCCCCTGACTGAAGGGGCTTCGCTTCAGGCTGTTCTAGGAAGGGGATTGGTTTTGTCTCAGCAGATCCTTCACAGGATGTTGGTGTTGTGTTTTGCTTTCACAGGTGGTTAACTGATGAAGAGAGAAGGCACCATGTGCACGTCATACTCTGGGTGCTCACTTTGTGTCTGTTTCCTTAAGCTGGAAAGTCATTATTTTCTTTTGTTCTGGGTGATTTCAGTGAGCTGTCGAGCACACAGAGTAGACTTAGAGAGGCACTAACCACGAGAAGCCTCAGATTCCTGTTTACTTAAAAGCCATGCTGGAACAGAGGGACCAGTGGGGACAAGCTGTTTGAAGGAGGACTGTAGAGCAAGAAATTCCAGTCCCTACCTCCAACCCGTGCCATGCAGAGCTTCCAGGGACAGTGTCCTGTACCAAACCACTCACCATCCTGCAGTGTCCAACAGGAGCTGAAGTTTCAGCAATCCTTGGGTTGACAGTGTTTTCCCTGCAGTTTAGGGGATGATCTGAACACCCCTCTCTTGGTGACAAGCCTGAGACAATCCATGCTGCCCAATGCATTTGGCCAAAAGTGATGGCTGTGAATAAACCCAGTGAGGTTCCCCTTGCCATTTAATTGAGGTGAAACATTCTCACATCTCTTCAAGCCAGAATCACCCTCAGCTGTTCAGGGGCTGCTTGCTGGGTTCTGTGTTTGATCATGTGCCTTTAACAGTTATTTAGCAGTTAGAAAACTCCAAAGGTGATGCCTGCACTGCCTGTATTGTGCTGATGAGTGTCTCATACTGGAGCAAAAGAACTTTCAGGCCTGTTCAGAGAAGTGGGAATGACAAATAATACCTTGTGGATTAGCCCAGCCCCACACAGCCATTTGCTTTTTCCCTGTGGGATGGGGAAGAGAAATGGAAGAAAGTGAGAAAACTTGTATATTGAGATAAAAGTAGGTGAAGTGAAAAGTGGGCTTCCAGGCAAATTAAAGCAAATTAAGGAATTTGTTCATTAATTCCCCTCATCAGGCAGGTGTTCAGCCATCCCCAGAAGAGCAGGGCACCATCACACCTGGTGGTGACTTGGGAAGACAAACACCATAACTCTCAATGTCACAAATCCAAAACAATTCTTCCACAAAGAAACAGTGTCTACCACGAAAATTAACTTCATCCCAGCCAAAGCCAGTACAAAGCTGTTCCTGGTCAGATTCCTCTAAGGAAAAACAATTACTGGAAGAGTGTGTGTGCTCCTTTGTGTTCGAGCTTCTCAAGATGCTGTAATCTTGCACTGGGGGATAATGTGGGGCTTGTTCTAGCTTGGGGGAAGGATGCTGAAGGAATTGAAGGTGAAAGAGCTTTAGAACTGCTTCACAAAATAATTGAACAATTATTACTAAATGAAATTAATATAGAGTAGAAAATTATATTTACTGTGCAATAAGTGGGATTTCTTCATGTCTGGTGAAAATCCATGTACTAAGCCTTTTTGATGATACATTTTGCAAGCACTAAATAAACACTGAGAATTTAAATAATAAACCAAGTGTGGTAAGTCCTTGCAGTCTCCTGAGGAATCCTGCTCTGCTGGTCCCAGCTCTGGCCTTGGCTTGGCTGGATGGCACACTTGTGTTGCGAGGTGTCCCTGGCACCCTGGAAAGGGCCCCCAGGAGCTCTCTTGGGCGCTGAAAATGCTCCTGGGAACCAGGCAGGGAGTGGGGTGAGCCAGTGGAGGAGCTGGCCTGTTTCCCTCTTTCAAATCCATGCCTGGATTGCCTGCCACCTGCCTGCTTGGGGTTTTCTGGCTGCCAGATCTGAGCGTTGTCTCCCGACAGCAGCTGTGGCATGTGGGCCACGCGTCCCTGGCGTGGGCAAAGCCACGTGGTCTCTGCCATCCCACATCAGGGCTGAGTCACTGCCCTGGCTGGGAGCAGCAATCCAGGGCTCCCCAGCCCAGGACAGGGTTGGGTAAAGGGCATCTTGTACCCAGCCAGAGCCCTGGGCCAGGGCCAGCTCTCCTGTGGGAGGAGGGATCGCCCCCAGCCATGGCAGGGGAAGGGCTTGTGCCTGCTTGCACTTGCCACAGGAGGCTGGTGGAGAGAGAAGCTTCTCTGAAGGTAACGTGCTTTTTTCCTTCTTTTTTTTTTATGAGTCACTTGCTTTCTTGGGCTGTGTCACACAGTGGTGGTGGTGGGTTGGGAAGGATTTAATCCTTGTAAGGGGATCTTGGTGTCTTGGTTGGTTGGGCAGGGATGCAGGACCAGATCTCTGGTTGTGTCTAAAGAGTGAAATGCTGCTCCTGGGAAGCAGGATGAAGTCTTTGCAGTGATTTGTCATTTTTCTGTGAGGACATGTGAGAGCCTCAGGGTTATGGTGCAGATGGGTGCAGGCTGGCTCTGCGCACACAGCTCTGCTGCCCACCCAGCCACAGCGATCTCTGTGTTTTGGCTCCTTGGGAGCATCCCTGTGAGCAGAGGGTGGAGTGGCTGGTGCCTCTGAAGCTTAGAGAAAGCACCCTCAGAGCAGGAGCAACCAGCAAAGCCCAGGTTGCTGTGAGAGGTGCCTTGTGCGTGCTGTGAGCCCGGAGCGCTCAGCTTGGGAGTGGGAGCTCCTCTCCAAGGACAAATCTCCCAGCCTGGCTCGGGGTGGGACATCTCATGGTGGTGTTCCCAGGGCTGAGCAGCTCAAGGGCCCGCGCTGAGCTGGGTGTCACCGGTGTCTCCTCAGTGCTCAGCGGCCATGGAGAGGATGCAGCAGATCGTGGGGCGGGCGAGGGCCGCCTTCAGCTCGGGCCGGAGCCGCCCGCTGGAGTTCAGGATTCAGCAGCTGAAGGCCCTGGAGAGGATGGTGCAGGAGAAAGAGAAGGAGATCCTGGCAGCCCTCAAGGCGGATCTGAACAAGGTCTGTGCTGTCAGGGGCCTCTCCCTTTTGCTGTGTATGGACAGTGGGTAACCCTGAGCAGAGCAGGAAGGCCGAGGGCAGCCTCTGCAGTGATGAATGGTTTTTGTTGTGTCCCCCACCATGGAACTGGATGACTCTGACTCTCCAGGGTGCCACAGTGGCTGTGGGAGGTGGGTGCCTTTGCCATCCCTTTCCCCAACCCCGCTGTTGTTTCAGTGTGGGCCCAACGCCTACAGCCATGAAATTCTGGGTGTGCTGGGGGAGCTGGCCCTGACCATGGAGAAGCTGCCGTCCTGGGCAGCCCCTCAGCCCGTGAAGAAGAACCTGCTGACCCTGAGGGACGAGGCCTACATCAACTACGAGCCCCTGGGCGTGGTGCTGGTCATCGGGGCCTGGAACTACCCCTTTGTGCTGGTCATGCAGCCCCTGATCGGGGCCATCGCAGCAGGTGGGGATCCAGCACGGCCCCGGCCTTGGTGGGCTTGTGGCTGGGAGCTGGGGCAAGGATGTGAGGGCTGAGTGTCTGTGCTGTGTGTGCCCTGCAGGCAATGCCGTGGTGGTGAAGCCGTCGGAGGTCAGCGAGAACACGGCTCGGCTGGTGGCCGAGCTCCTCCCACAGTACCTGGACAAGGTGAGTGTGGCCCTGTGCTGGTGCCCAGGTTTCTCTGAGCCACAGTGATGAGCTGGGCTGGGGGGACCCTGACACCCCTGCCCTGCAGGATCTGTACCCTGTGGTCACTGGAGGAGTTCCTGAGACAACCGAGCTGCTGACCCAGAGATTTGATCACATCCTCTACACCGGCAACACTGCAGTGGGCAAAATTGTGATGGCAGCAGCTGCCAAGCACCTGACCCCTGTCACCCTGGAGCTGGGGGGAAAGAGCCCCTGCTACATCGACAAGGACTGTGACCTGGCTGTGGCCTGCAGGTCAGCTTGTTGCTGCCTTGATGGGCCCTGAGCAGCAGGGCAGGGGGAGGTCTCTGGGCCAGCATCCCCAGCTCAGGTGCTGCCAGCTGGGCTGAGGGGTGTGGCAGGGGTCGCCCATGGGGAAACCGTGTCCCTTTTGTCCCTTGTCCCAGGCGGATAACGTGGGGCAAGTACATGAACTGTGGGCAAACGTGCATCGCCCCAGACTACATCCTGTGCGACCCCTCCATCCAGAGCCAGGTGGTGGAGAACATCAAGGCGACTCTGAAGGTGAGGGAGGAGTTCCTTGTGCTGTGGGGATTGTTCCAGGTGTGATTTCCTGGAGCTGTGGCTGTTGGAAGGTGCGCTGAGCGCTTTTGTTGCTGCTGTGCCCTTGCTCAGGAATTCTATGGGGAAGATGTGAAGTCGTCTCCGGACTATGAAAGGATTGTCAACCAGCGTCACTTCAAGAGGGTGAAGAGCCTGCTGGAGGGGCAGAAGATCGCTCATGGGGGAGAGTCTGATGAGGCCTCCTGCTTCATAGGTGCTCCTGGCAGCTGCTGTGGAGGGGAGGTGGTGGTGGGTGCTTTCTGGGCTCCGTGTGTGTGTCTGTGCCTGACTTGGGTTATGTTGAACACAGCAGTGTCCAGGACAAGGTCCTGTCCTGGGCCAGACGTGTGTCCAGCTCATGCTGTTCTCCCATTGTCCCGTTTGCCTCAGCTCCAACCATCCTCACGGACGTTTCCCCGGAGTCCAAGGTGATGGAGGAGGAAATCTTTGGACCAGTGCTGCCCATTGTGCCTGTGAAGAGCGTGGAGGAAGCCATTGAGTTCATCAATCATCGGGAGAAGCCCCTTGCCCTTTATGTCTTCTCCAACAACAAGCAGGTGGGTCTGGGGTGTTCTCCCTCATGGGAGTGTGTCTGCAGAGCTGGATCCTGAACATGGCTGGTCCCAGACACAGTTCTGTGTAGGGTCTGTGTCAGTTCCTTTTCCATGTAAATTGCAGCATTTGGGGGCCATGAGAGTGCCCAGAGCTGCTGGAGGCTCCCAGTCTTCTGCTGAAGGGCTCTGTGTTTGCACATCTCCAGCCACACAGGTGGGCGCTGCTTCCTGCTGTGTCTGCTGCCCCCATTTCCAGGCTCTGTTTGCCAGCTCTGGAATTCAGGTCCAGGCTTTGCCCTGGAACAACAGCCTCAGGCAGTTTGGGTGGGAGGGCTGAGCAGCACCCTGGGCTGACATGAAGCCTCTTCATTTTGTGGCTGTTCCAGCTGGGCAGATCCTGTGCTTAAGTGGTGTAAACTGGCCTCTCTCATGGAACAAGGCACAGCCTGTGCCCCCCAGAAAGGGGGATGGAAACATCACCTTGAACCCTCCCTGCTCTGGTTCATGGTGTCCCATCTTGATTTGTGCCCTCTCCTATTGTGGGCAGCTGATCAGACGGGTGATAGCAGAGACCTCCAGCGGTGGCATGACAGCCAACGATGTCATCATGCACTCCGTGGTCCCAGGTCTGCCCTTCGGTGGTGTGGGTGAGTTCTTACTCCAGCACATGCACAGCAACCAGCAGCAGCCCCTGACCCAGGAGCTGTCCTGCCCACTTGGTGATTCAGGAACTTCCAGCTGCATTTAATGTTATTTTCTGGGGTGGATTGTTTTGTAAAAAGGCTTATTAGTGTTTTGGTTATTAGGCCTCCCAGTGAGAGAGGAAAACCCCCCAGCACATAAATGAGCTCTGGTTCTCCTGTGCTGAGGTGTGGGATGAATTTGTCCATGGCCTGGTTGAGTTTCCACAGCTGCTGTCGGGCTCCTGTGGCACAGACCGTTTGGCTGTGGGCACAGGGCTGCGGTCTTTGGTGTTGTTAAGTGTCCTCCTCATGTCCCACCCCCTGAAATCACAGGCCCAGCTCCTCCTGTCCCTGACCCCTGTGAGAATTTTGTGGGAAAAGCAAGGCTGGCCCTGGGAGGACAGAACTGGTGTCATTAACATTTTACGCGTGGTCTCACACAAGCAGCAGGTCAAGGCAGTGAGTGTGTCCTCACTGGTTTCTGCAAAGTTAAAAAAGCTGCTCTTTGCTCCTCTGCCCTGAGAAGCAGCATGGCCAAGCTTTCCCTGTGTCCTGGGGGCTGCCAAACTGAGTCTGAGAGACGCAGGTGTCCCTGTGGCTGGTGTGACCTGCCTGGCTGTGTCCCTCAGGGCACAGCGGGATGGGCGCCTACCATAGCAGGTACAGCTTCGAGACCTTCTCCCACCGCCGCGCCTGCCTGGTCAAGGACCTGAGGTGGGAGGCTGTGAACAAACTGAGGTACCCACCTGGCAGCATGGAGATGATGCATTTGGCCAAGTTCTTCCTCCTAAAGCAGTGTAACAGGAGCAGGGTGGGACAGTTCATCTCGGCCCTGCTGGCGGCAGTGAAAGCCGTGGTGGCAAAGGTGAGCTTTGTGTGTCTGCTGTGCCTGTGTGTGCTCCCAGTTCTGTTCCCTGAGCCCCACCTGCCCTCAGCCTTCATCACCCCATTTCTTTGAGCTCTGCTCCCTCCCTAGAGGATTCATCCCTGTTTCTGTGCTTTTCCAGGTGTTGTGCCCCCAGCGAGAGGTGTGATGGGCAGCCAGCCCTTGGACCTGCTGCTCACTCCCTGCAGTCTGGCTGCTGAGCTTTCCTTTGCTGCAATTTCATTTCTTCCAAGGTAGACAATGCACTGAAGAGGTAGAAGACAAAAAAAAATGCATCTATAGCAGAGACACCCCAAGCTAAAGGCTCCAGCTCCTCCTGAAACAGGAATCTATCCAGACCTAGGCTGTGGGTCATGCCTGAGCAGTGAGTAGCCAATGGAAGGAAACAGCATCCACCATGCTTTGTAAACAGTAGCTCCTCTAAAAACTCCAGGGAACGTGGGAGTGTTTGTCACAAGGGTGTCTAAACAAAGCCAGTCGTTACTGAGCCTGTTATCTGTGTAACACCTCACCTGATCCCCAGAGGAAGCCCTCATCACAGAGATAAGCCTGGAAAATGAGGGTCTCACTGCAGGGGACAGCCCAGGCTGGTTATCCCCAGAGCAGAGGGAAGGAGCCTCGAAGAACCTGCAGCATCTCATCCTTCAAGGGCCTCATGACTGAATGGGTGATGCTCCTTGCAGAGAAACCACCTTTAGCCATCCAAGGTGTGCAAAGGCCACCAGAGGTGGTGACAAAAGCGACCTGAGCTGTGGTCATAATGTCCCAAGGACTTGAGAAGTTCCAGGGACTGTTGTGCTGCTGCATTTGGGGCTACTGGGGCAAAGACAGGGGCACTGCTGCAACTGGAGTCCCAGGTCTGGGGCATCCTCAGCCAGAGTGGTAGAGCAGCCACAGCCATCTCCTCTGTAACTAAATTTCAGGGTTTTATTCGTTTATGGGTAGTCTTTTACCTCCAAACTTGTAACTGAGCGCTTGACCTTGACCCTTGCTGAATAAAACCTTTGCTTTACTGCGAAGGGCACATGGGGCAGGGCAAGACCCACGTGTGGATGTTCCCTGCTCTGGCCCCAGCCCTGCCCTCAGCCTCCACCCCAAGGAGCCAGCCCCACTCCAGCCAGGTTTATTCTTTATTGGGCATTTGTCATGGAGCAGCAGGGGGAGCTGGGCTGTGCTCAGCTCCAGTGGGTGGTGGCAGTGTGGCCCAGGGGTGCCCCACACGCTCAGGCAGCCCAGAGCAGCATTTTGGGTGCCAGGGCAGCCTCAGGGCCCCATTCCCAATCAGTACCTGCACAAACGCTGCTCAGCCCTGACAGAAGCCCTTTGGCTCCTGCGGGACAGGCGTGCGCTCCATTTTCTCGCTGGCTGGTCCGTGCTTTGTACGCCTGTCCCTCAGGAAAGGCTTTCACCCCAAAAACAAGTCCCCAAAGTCCTTGGTGCGAGTCAGCCTGTGCTGCTGATCAGCTTTATGGCGATGCCGAGGGCGAGCGCGGCCACGGCTGCGGCCACCGCCAGCCCCCGGCGCAGGATGAGCTGCTTGGTGACCACGGGGGTGGCCGGAGCGGGGGTGGCCTCCCGCAGCTCCAGCTGCTGCGTGGCTCCCTCCGTCTTGGTGATGCCCGTGAGCACGACGTCATCCTGCACTTCTATTCCTGCTGCAAGGAGAACGGGGCTTGAGGGGTCTGGGGGGGCACTGAGGGATTTTTGGGGGTTTTGTCACGGGATGGAATGCATGAGCAGCCCAGGGTGTGGAGGTGTCAACCAGGTCCTGTTCCTAGAGGTGGGACCGAGGTGAGGACTGACCACCCTCTGCACCCCTCCCAAGCCCTCACTTGTAATTACTGCTCTCCCAGTAACTGAGGGTGTCACCAGCACAACACTCTCTGCCCTGTTTGGTGGGCTTGTTCCTGGCTTGTGTGACCCTTCCCAAACCCAAACCCTCCCCTGCATGCAGCACCCCGCTCCTGCTGTACCGACAGACCCCAACACTGCCCTGGCAGGGAGGTAAGTGTGGGGCTGGGGGGCTGGTCCCACGTCCAGATCCTTGCAGGAGGGCTCAGGGCCCAGGCTCGGCAGCTCTGGTGGTGGCAGCTGGGTCACTCCCGCCCGGCGCTGAGCCTGGGGAGGGAATGTGCTGGCTTTAGCTGGGAATTCCCACTCTGTTGCCTCTCTTGAGGTCTCCCTGGAGCTGTTGAGGCACAAGGTGATGCTCAGGGCTGCAGGGCTGAGGTTGCCTGGGTCACCCCATCTGCTCTGAGCTTCGTATCCCCAAACAAGGGGCAGGGGGAAACCCTAAGGCCACTGAGTGCTTGTGCAGGAGGAATACAGGGACGTCATGGGAGCGCTGGGTTTTGCTTCAGGGCACCGAAGAACAGCACTGGCCATGAGATTGAGTCTGTCTCATCCCAGCAGGGCACTGGGGACCTTCCCAGTGCAGGGAGGTGCTGTCAGTGCCTGGATTACCTCCTTAGCTGCCTTCTCCCAGTTCAGGCGGGAGATGTAGGTGATGAAGCAGGTGCAGAGGATGAAGACGCAGATGAGCATTGAGATCCACAGGCCTGCGGAGGGCACGCGGCATCAGCCAGAGCCAACCCGGCATCCCAGGACAGCAGGTCCAGAAAGGGGATGTCACCCAGGTCAATGGGGACACAGGGTGGCCATGGGTCCCTGCTTTGAGGTTGTAAAAGCTCCCAGCAGCTGCAGGAGCCACCCCAGTCCAGCCCAGTGTGCCCAGGCAGGTCAGAGGGGGGACAGAGCCAGGCACAAGGGTTGTGGTGAGCCCCCAGAGGAGCTGCACCTGCCTGTGGGGGGTTTGGGGGTGCAGTGCCCAGCGGTCAGTACCGATGACGCCGATCTTGGCCACGAAGAGCAGCACAGCTGCCAGGGGCATGCCCACACCGTAGTAACTCACGGCGTTGAGGATGGCACCGAATTTCTGCTTCCCGACTCCTCTGAGCACCCCACTGCAGGCACCCTGCCAGGAGAGCACGAGGGGCTGGGGCAGGGAGCACCTCCATGGAATTCAGGAGGTGACCCAGCCCCCCCACCAGCTCCCTGAATGTGTCCTGCCCCAGTCCTATGGGTCACCATCTTTTTATGAGCTCAGTGTTTTCTAAGGGATGATCCCAGGAGCTCTGCAGGGTCCTGGTGTGGGCACTGGTGCTCAGCTGAGGGACCCTCAGCTGCCTGATCCACAACGCTGCTGCTGAGCACCAAGGTTCCCCATGGAAAATAGCAAGCATTCCCTGGGACTTACATTCACGGCTTCAAACAGGTGGAAGACAACGTAGACAGGCATGACCCACGCCACCAAGTCAATGATTTCCCTGGGGATGGAGGAAAGCCACAGATCACCTCTGAGAACTGACCTCCACACACCGAGGCCAGGAGCTGGGGGCACTCACTTGTCCACGGTGAAGATGTATCCCAGCACATTCCTTGTGGCAGCTAAAATGGACCCCACAATTACGGAGAACACCCCTGAAAACATGGCACAGAGCTGAACCCAACCTGGCTGGAGAGCAGGGGGAGAAGAGGCAGGCAGAGAACTGCAAACACTCCCTGCTCCATGGGAAGGAGCAGGAAGAGGCTTTCCAGGCTGTTGTGGACTGACCTGTGCAGATCAGGCTGGTGCTGGAGGATCTCTTGGCCGCCTCGATGTCGCCGGCGCCCAGCGCGTTGCCCACCTGCACACCAGCAGCTGTGCCCAGCCCCAGGGGGATCTGCAAGCACAGGGCTCACATGTGTCTGACCATGGGCTTGTCACAGTGATGGGGGATCACCAGCCAGCAGAGAGCAGGATGGAGTTAAAGCATCCCTGCAAGGAGGGATGGGCAGGGGCAGGGAGAGACTCGAGTGCAGAGGGGGAGGACGGGGCTTTGCTGGAGCTGATTTTTGCTGTGTGCTTGTCTCAGGACAGCCCCCATGGAGCCCTGGTCTGCAGTGATAACCCAGCCCTTACCATGAAAGCCACAACAGACACCTCATAGATGATGGACTGGACGGAGAGCTCGACAACGCTCAGCAGGCCTGTGGGACAGGAGGGGTCAGTGCTGGCTGTGGGTGCTGCTCTGGGTCAAGCCTGGCCATGTCCTGGCAGCTCCCCTCTCCACTGACCTATCAAGAAGCTCCCAATCTCATAGGTCCACCACTCGATGCACATCATGAGCATGCTGGGGATAGCCAGGGAGGTGAAGCTGTCCCACTCCAGCAGACACTCGCTGGACCAGCCTGTTGAGAGGAGAAATGACACCTGATGGATGATCAGGCTGGCCACGTGTTCCATCCTGCACGGCACCTGGCGCAGCTGGAGGTGCCATTCCTGTTCTCAGGGCCAGCAGCTCCACAGGAGCGCAGTGTCCACCAACAACCTCTCTGCTGCTGTCCCATGGGCCACAGAGCAGCACAAGCCTCAGCCCATCCCTCCCTGAGCGGTGTCCAAGGACAGCCTCCTGCTCACATCTGTGCTCATCCGGCTTTGGGGCTGAACTTCCAAAGCCTCAGCAGAAAGTTTCATTTCCGCAGAATTAATGTTTAGTGCTGATCACACAGCTCTGCCAGTGCTGGCATGTGACGAGCTGCCACTGACACAGCACTGTGGCACCTCGGGCTGGGGTTAATATTTCACCATCAGGATGAGCAGAATTCCTCTTCTATCAAGAGCACCCGATAGAAGCTTTATGGACACTTCAGGGTAAAGCAGAGGAACCAGGGGAGATGCCCTTACCTCCCCACGTGTTCAAGTGGAGTTTCCTGCCTATGATGAACAGGAACAAAAAAATGGTTTGTGAATACTGAGCGATGGTGTTGGCCCAGGCAGAGCCCCTGCAGAGGAAGTGAGAAAGGTCATTGGAATCCTGCTTGTGCCTCCCTCAGGGTGGAAAAAGACATCCCACTGTACCCCTGAGAGCTCAGCATTCCCCTGCCATTGCCAAGTGCCCTGTTTCCTCTCCAGGGGATGCAGGTGCTACTCACGTGATGCCCAGGTGGAACACGTAGAGGAGGACGTAGTTTGCAGCCACGTTGATGATGTTGCCGATGACCCCACTCAGCACCAGTGGCCACAGGATCATCTGCAAAGAAGAGGAGATGGGGGGTGGTCTTCACAAAGGTTTTGGGAGGGATGAGTGAAGGTTCCCCCAGCCCCACTCTCAGTGCCTTTCCCCCCCAAAAAAAAACCCCAAACTTCCAGTGATGTCATCTGCTTGGAAAATGAATGTGATGGAGATAAATCCTGATGTGGGGAAGTATGAAGGGAGATGGATGGATACAGCTGACTGTGGGATGGGCTGATCTGTCGCCCTGAAAACTCAGTTTTCCGATCTTGTTGACAGTTTCTAAGAACTTTCCCAGGACAGTGACTGTAAACACAGATAGGTATACATTCCTTCTGATACATGTCCTTTGATGGACGTCTCACACGACCAGTGTGATTGGAAAGGTGGTAACCTAACTATCGAATCCCTGGTCAAAAATCTGTAAATACTGAAGCTGTAAGAATAAAACCAGTTTTTTCCCTGTTATACGGGAGCCGTGTCTGTGTGAGTCATTGTGTGTCCTACAGCAACACTGATCTACAAGGTCAGGGCTGTTTTGGGGTACCTGGGCACCCTGTCACTGGGAACAGCGAGCATGGAAGCCCTGGGTGCACTGTGGAAGGGAGCCCTGAGCCAGGGTGCGTGTGAGGACTTTGGGACCCACCTGGTTCTGCAGGTATCTTGTCTCCAGGTTATACAGAAAAACCGCCTGCAAAGGAAATTTTGGATGGGATGAGCCAGTGCTGAGCTGTAGGATGGGGACAGCCTGTCCCCATGGGCAGGTGGCATCCAGGATGCCCACGGGCACTCACCGGGAGGGCAGGGAGAAACGCATTCACGTAGTGCTGGGTCAACCTGGGGGTACACAGAGGGGCGTCAGGGAGGGGCATGGCCACGGCCACCCTCCTCTCAGCCCGTCCACACTGGGGAGGGATGAGGGGGACCACCCAACCTGGAGACCTCGGGATCCTGCTGCATGACCAGCATCAGCTCCTCGATGTTGATGAGGATGGCGCAGCAGGGGAAGCAGCAGAGGAGGATGATGATGGTGGCACGCTGCAGGATCACCCCCACACGCAGCAGGTTCTTGCTGCCATAGGTCTGCAAGGTGAGAGGACAGCAGTGAAATCAGCTGGTGCTGGGGGAAAAGGGGCCCTGAAAAGCATGGAGCAGCCCTGACCACCCTGAAAATCTCCTTGGAAGGATTTGGAGAGTGGATCTCCTCGTTATGGGATTGTTACCTGGGGATAACCTTCCCCAGCTCACAGGAGCAGCCAGGGCTCCATGTGGTGCCTGGGCATCATCAGCTCATGCTGGAAACCACCCCACACTCCCTAGGACGAGTGTCAGCATTTCCTACCCACCTGGGATATCAAGGTGTCACACGCTGAAGTCAGACCGTAACCTACAGAGATGGCAGTGACATTTATAACCTGTGAGTTAAAAAAACAAGGATGGAAGGTGAGCATTTAAGACTTTCAGGTAGGGAAGAGGGGCTGAAAGGAAAAGCAGGAGTCTGAAATCTCCTCTGTCCTTTTCCCATGCCACATCTCCTCCCGGTGTCAGCAGGGAGGGATCTGGTGCCCGGCCCGGGGAATGCTTACAGCGATGGCCAGCGTGACAGAGGCCAGCTCAACCTTGCCCAGGTGGCCACAGAATATGGAGCTGACAAGGTGGATCAGGAAGATCAGCAGCTGGATCAGGATCTAAGCACAGAGGAGAGCCGAAGGTTAGGGATGGAGGTGAGCAGGGGTGCTTGTGCTGGGGGAATCTCTCCTCCCGGCTCCTTACCAGCGGCCCCGCCAGCACCAGCAGCTGCCTCACGTCCTCCCAGAAGTTTTCCGGAATCCAGCGGCGTTTCTTCTGGCAGCTCCCGGGTGTGAGATCGCCCTGGCCAGCATCCCTTCCCTCCCCGAAGCCATTCTCCTCGGGGAAGTTCTCCGGCTTCATGCTGCCCTGCCGGGGGAGTGGAACGAGCCCTTTCCTCCGCGCTCTGTTAAAGCCCGCTGGGCCGAGCAATGTGTAACCACGCTGGGGTGAACTTCAGCCGGGGCCGGACGATCCGGCCCCAAGTTCCCTGCTCTGGGCTGGCCACGGGAGCGTGGGCAGTGGGGCAGGGCAGGACACGGCTGGCGGAGCCCAGCGAGGCTCCGGGCAGCGCAGAGCAGCGCGGACGCACCATGCGAGGCTCCTGCTGCCTGTCCTGAGCCAGCCTTAGGGGCTGAGCCAGCCTAAATCCACCCTGTGAGCCCTCCTACCTCTCCTGCTTCGGCACAGCTGCCCCGGCCGGCGGGCTGGGGCTGCTGCTCTGTCCTGGCTGTGTGTGTGCGGCTGTGAGAGCTGCTGCCGGCCGCACTGTCCCGCTCGCCCCCATCACAGGGGCCAGGACAAGCCGGCCCCCTTGGCTCCAGCTGTCCCTGGCACAGCCCCACCGTGTCGGGTTTCACTGGCACCGCTCCCCCAGGCCGAATGCAGCGTGCTTGGCCCGGCGAGGAGCCAGGGGAGGGGAGATGCTGCCCGGTGCAGACCCCACCTACACGGAGTGGGGCTGGGATAACTCATGGGACGAAGCGAGACACCTTCCTGCTCTCCCCTCACTCCCATCCCAAACCTACCGCGATTCCGAGCAGTCTGCCACCTCCTCCCACTGATGCTGGGGATGGTGGCAGCTTCAAGCTTGTTTGTGTCACATTTTTTCATTCACAGGCTACCAACAGCAGGAGAGCTGTGGGGTGACAGGGAGGTGTCACACCTGTATGAGGTATTGACTTGCCAGCAGCTGACATGTCACAGTCACTCAGCCACAGGACAGGCCCAGATGGATTCAGAGCTGGGCTGTTTTGGATTATGACATAGGGAGTTCATTGATGGCTCTGTAAGGCTGAGCAACACAGACTTCCTCTGCCATGGCACTCAACAACCATGACAACAACAAATCTTGTTTTTGTACCCAAGGGGAAGAGTGATAACACTGTCTGGAGCCAGCCCCAAACCTCAGGGCCAGCACCAGACCCACCCACCATCTTTCCTTTTAACAGCACTGTCCTGACACTGACCAGGGTCATGCTCACACCATATTAAACAGCCTAATATTTTCTCAGAAAACTTTATTGTCCCAAAATCCCACCTTACAAAAGTGCAAAGAAGAGTTGCTTTAGGCCCTGTGCCTGCCCTGCAGAGGGAGAGCAGGGTCAGCAGCCAGCAGCCTACAGCAGAGTCAGGTTATCTTCCAGCAAAACCCATTTTTTCTGTGCTGCCACAGCGGCTGCAAGTGGGATTTGCCACCCCAAGGTGCTGGTAGAGGCTGGTGAGTGAGGAAACGTGCTGTGGGCAGCAGGAGCCTCTGCCAGGAGCAAATGACATGGTCCAATGTCCCAGAGAGCAAGACAGCAGCACCAGGACCCTGTCTCCCTCCCAGGTCAGCCCCAGGATACACTCCCACCGCTCCTGAGTGACATCCCAGTGCAGTGCAGGAGAGGAACCAGCTCTCAAGCCTTTTTTATCCAGGTGCCACATCCTCACCCCCTTTAAGAACTCTGTGTGTGGAATAAAACATTGTCAGTTAACCAGAAACCGTGCAAAAGGACTTTTTGTAAGGCACCGAGGGGGAATTACTTCCCCACACCATCCTCTGGGACACTGCCACATGCCCTCCTGCTCCATGCACAGTTCCCCAGTGTCCCTGGTTTTAGCCATTGCCAGTCAGGAGCCGGACCAGAATTCCCACCAGCAGGACAGCGATGGCAGCAGCAGCAGCCAGCACACGGCGGAGGATCACAGCCCTCCATGCCACAGGAGGAAGAACAGGGACAACAACAAGCTCCTCCTGTGTGGTGAGCTCATGCTCAGGCTGCCTCTCGCCCACCATGATGCTCTCAGGCAGGACCGTGGTGTCCCCGGTGTCCGTGTCAAGGGAGGTGTAACCTGTGGGACAGAGAGTGCTGCAGGGGGGCTGCACAGCCCAGCCAGGGGCCTCCAGGCTGATACAGCACAAGCACCTATGATGGTCCTCAGGGTCCTTTCCCAAGGCCTGGGGACACTGGGACACACAGCTGCAAGCTGCATCTTGTACCCCATTACTCAGTGCAGGACAAGTGGCACTGGCCCAGGGCCAGCACCAGGCACCGTGCTCTTTCCAGCCATTTGAGCCTCCAGAATAGACATGGTTGCCACAATTGGGAAGGAAAGGAAGGGGTTGGGTGGAGAATTTGGGCTCCCTGCCTGGTGTCAGGCCTGGCTACATACCCACAGCAGATGTTTTGTTAGCAGCTGTGCCATTGGAGTTCACATCTTCCACTTGTTCTTTCACTCCAGCTCGGACTTGAGCCTAAGAACACCGGGAAGAGTTGCTCTTCTCAGGGCAAGGGTGTCCTGCCCAGCCCAAAAAACCCTCCACTCTCCCAAGACAAGCATTCTCAGCACCAAACTGCTCCTCTGCTACAGGAGAGGGACAGACCCCAGTTCACTTCTCACACCTCCTAGAGGGCTGTGGTGTTGTACTGAAACAGGAGTTAACTCAGCACCTTGCAAGAATTACCAGAGAAAAGCACAATTCTCACCTCCTCTGCAGCTTTCCTCCAATCCATTCGGATAACAAAAGCCAAGAAGGAAAGGGCTTGCACGGAGATGCAAATGATCATCCCAACCCACAGACCTGCAGCAGTGGGAAGTTACTTCAGGGAGGGCTTGAGGAAAACCTGCCTTTGCCACTCACTGCCAGAATACCCGAGGACTTCAGCCCAAGAGCTTTCGAGGAAACAGCTCCTGGGGAAGCTGGGAGTAAGCCTGGATTTACTGGGGTGTTTACTGGGATTTACTGCCTGCCCCAAACACAGCAGTGTGCAATCCAGCCCCACTGAGCCAAAGGAAGATCTGAGCATGATTTCCAGGGCTGAGCCTTTGTTCAACACAGCTAATACCATGCCAGCTGGAGGGCACACGTACCTAACACCCCCATCTTGGCTGCAAACATCAGGGAGATGCCGATGGGGAAGCCGATGGTGTAATATCCCACGGCGTTGGCGATGGCGCCCAGCTTCTGCCTGCCTGTGCCTCGCAGCACCCCGCCACACGTCGCCTGGGGAGAGCAGCCAGAGGGGTCACTGCCAGCTGACCCTCGGGCAGGGCACAGCCCTGGGGACAGGGAAACCCACAGCACTGCCCCACCAAGCCAAGAGGCAGCAAAGCCACATTCTGAAGAATGTGATGTGGGGTTCGCCTCGCTCCAGCTGCCAACACAGAAGATCCCCAAGAGCTTCCCCATAGTGCCCAGGTGCCTCCCCCAGGACATGGCAGGAGGAAACAGGCCAAAATTACTGTCTATTGAGTATCCCAGTGTGCTGGGAAAACCTGGTATCTCTGAAGACCCAGCTGCTCACTTGTGTTGCTTTGATAAACCAGTAAAAAGCTGGAGCCTTGGCCAGGGGAAAAGAGGAGGAACAACTGGGGTGTCTGCAGCAATGCCAAGGGACAGCTACAAGCCCAGAGAGTACCCAGGTATTACAGGTAACACAAGCAGTTGCTTTGACACTTTCTCCATTTGCTTCTCTGGATCATTTTAACAGGTCCAGAGTGGGCCTCAGGCAGCTTTGCACCCCAAGCTGCAGAGAGGAGTCACTCCATGTGAGGAATACTCACTGCTGTTGCATCCAGCAAGTGGAAAGGAGCAAAGATGAGCATCACTTTGGACACCAAGCTGACAATCTCCCTGTTGGGAAGATGGAAGGACTGATCAGGGGAAGCAGCACCATCTGGTCCCTGGTTCAACCACGAAGGCTGATCCCAATTCCCTGATCCCAGGCTGGTACCACGGTAGTGTCCCAGTGTTAGAAGCAGCTGTGCTGCCCAGGGAGGCTGGGAAATGGGGAGGAACTTTTGAGGAATGTTTGCCAGATGGGGGTTTATGAACTTCTGGGGTATTAATAACACCCTCCAAGAAGGAAATAATACTTAAACAAAGCTGTTAACCTACTTGTCATTGGTGAAGATGTATCCCACCACATCCCTTAGGCTCCCCAGTAATGCTGCAACCACCACAGCGAAAACTCCTGAAAGAAAAAGGAATAGTCAAATTGCTTCAAGGGCAGCACATCCTGCTCCTGACCAGGCCCAGACCTCAGGGGCTCCACGTGGTGGGGATTGGACTTTGCTGACCTCAAATGATACTGCAGCAGAGGACAAGTCTGTTTTCCTCTCACTCTCCCCAGATATTCCCTCTACTCTCTGGGACTGTGAGGACAGAACACTAAGCCACATTTTTTATCAAAACCTTTGCACCAGGCTCGTAACAGAAAAGATGAGTCAGGATCTTGCCTTGCCCAAAGGGTCCAAACAAGTGGGACTGGGTTCCTATGGGAGGTCCCTGGCCTTGAGGGAGGGAAACTGAACCATTTGCTGATAATTGCCCTTTATTCTGCTCTGCAGGACTGCACTAACCTGTGCACAGCAGTGCAGTGATGCAGGAGGTCTTGGCTTGCTCCACATCCCCTGCTCCCAAGGCATTCCCTACTCTGATACTTGCAGCCACGCTGATGCCCAGAGGCACCTAAGAAGCAGAAGACAAGAGGAGGTGAGTGACAGCAGAGCCTGCAGGGACAGCACAGCCTGCAGGGACAGCAGAGCCTGCAGGGACAGCAGAGCCTGCAGGGACAGCAGAGCCTGCGGGGATTTTCTTCTTCCCCAGTGGGGAATTTGGGACAAACTGGCATTGCTGCAGTGAAGAGATTTTCCATCTGCAGCACATCCTGGATCTGCAGGCTTGAGAGGCATCACCTGCCTGGTACCAACCCCTGCTTCCCACCTCAGCACTGACCCACAGAGCCAATGCTTTGGGGTTCCTCCCAGGCTGTTTGGGGATTCACACCCCCAGCCCTTACCATGTACGCGACACAGGCGAGCACATAGATGACAGACTGTGCACCCAGCTCCACCACACCGATCAGCCCTGGAAAAGATTTGCCACCTCCTTGGTTTGCTGAAAAGGAGGCATCTATCCCCATGGAATAGATGGGAACACCTGCAGGGTGCTGCAGACCCAGCCCTGTGGGTGAGGAGGCTGCTGCTGGCAGCGGGGCTCTGGGGACACGCTCAAGCAGCCATCAGGAACCAGAGGGGAAAGAGGATTTGGACTCACCAGCCAAGAAGCTCCCAATCTCAAAGGTCCACCACTCAATACACATCATGACCATGCCAGGCACTGCCAGCCAGATGAAGGAGCCCCAGTCCACGAGGCACTCCCTACTCCAACCTGACAGGAGGAGGTGAAGCAGAATGAACATGTGTTATCCATCTGCTCCCCCAAAGGGGAGCCACATCCACTCTCTGAGGACAACCAC